ACAGTTTGCAGCCCACAGAAGGCTCTGTGGCAGCAAGCCTCTTCCTGCATGACACTTGGGTCTATTACAGGAATAGAACCAGGAAGATAAGAAAAACCAGTGTCACCCAGAAACCCCAAATCGGCTGCTTCCAGACTTCCCCCAGGAGTTGTCCCCCAGTGGTCAGGTGGAGCTGCCCCCACCCTCCATTTGGCAAATGAAACATAATTTGGAGAAAAACAGAGCACTCAGAGCATTCATTGATTTCATCCGCCCCTGATCTTCCAATTCTAAGCGCATTGAAGTTCCTTGAATAACTCAAAGAAGATTGTTGAATTATAGTGTTTGCCTGTGATTCAGAAGCAGAAATTTTTCCAAATGTCTTAGCAAGAAAATGACATCTGAGGGGCCATTATGAGTGACTCAGCGGGTGTGGGCAGGCCGCCAGAGGAGCCGAGCTCCACTTTCTTGTACTCTGCCTCAGTGTGTATTCTCTTACTGGAAAAGAAAGTTCTAGGAGGATGAATAACTACAAGAGGAGAAAGACTAGGAGGACATTGCTGGTTTCCACTAAGCCAGAAGGGTTAACCTTCCCCCCAACAGCTGAGATGCTCATGGTCCTGAACCAGGCGACTGGCTGCTCCTCATGCCTGTCTGGCCTCCAAGCCCAGAGAGTGGAAATACCTGGCTGTCCCTCTGGGTGCACTGGTAACCAGCATGCAGGCTGTGGCATCTCTGATTTATAGAAGGAAACACACACATACACACACCCACCACCACTTCTGAACTGCTGCAAAGATCTAAAAGGGATAGAAAGGTGGACCTTCTCAGCTGCTGCTTTCCCGTCTCCAAGGTATGCAGCTAGTGATAAGCAGTGTTCTGTGGCGTGCACAGAGGTAAGCATCAAATGGGTCAGCACCTGGAGCTGAAATCGAACAAAAATATATACTTCTTCAAGGCCAATGTTTGTCCAAGAAATCTCTGATGTATGAGTTTTGAGGGACCTCTGAAAAGCAGAAAATACGGGCCCTGCGCTCCAGGGACTTAGAGGGTGAAGGCAGCACTAGCCTCCTGCTCTGTGGGTCTTTACCAGCTTCTCTGCCGCCACCAGCTCCCACATGCCCCCCCATTTAGCCCGCACGACACAATCACCTTCGAGCTGAGCGATGGTTCCCACCACAATGTAGAAGAAGAAACTAAGGCTCAGAGAGGAATTGACATGTTCAAGTCTCAGGATAATGTGGCAGAAGCAGAAATGGATTGCAGGTCTTCAGACACTTACATCCAGGGGTACAATTCAAGGTGTCAAGAGGCAGGCTGCAGGAGCCCAGGGTGCTCATGTCCTCTGTTCCTGCATCTTGCAAGCCCTGCTCCCAGATGGATGCCCTGCTGCATCTCCTCTCGCCCTTCCTTCCAGCAGCACTCCTCATCCATCACCTATGGCTCTCCCCTCCAGGGCCCTTCCTGTCCCACGGCTGCCTCCACTCACATCAACCTTCCCACAACCACCAGAGGGATATTATAAACAGAAGTCAGCTCTCACCCGCCGCCGTCCTGGAAAGCCAGTGGCAACTGGGAGGAAACCCAAACCTCTTACAAAAGGAAAGTCAATGTGTGCCTTCAGATCTTCCACAATGCACACATCCCATGGGGCAGGGAAGCAAGGTGGGGGATGAAGGAGGCCAGCACAGCCCCTGTCAGGTGGCAGAAGGGGAGGGAGGGGAGAGGTAGGCTTGCTGTGTGAAGCTGGCCTGAGTGACCACATGGTCCCTGCAGCTTGGAGCCTGAGGCCACCTGTCCGCAGCCTCCCCATGGGCTTTCTCTAGTGCATCACACACTTACCCAGCGTGCTCACATTCTCAGGCCTCTGCAGACACTCTTCCTTCTGCTGAGTCTCCTTCCAGCACCCTCCATGGTTGTCTCATTATTGGATCCCAGCTCACTGGTCCCAGACCAAACTCCAGAAGGCCCCCCCCCCACCGTCTCTCCTGTTCCCCATTTTATCTGTTTCCAAGCACTTCCTACCTCCTGAGCATTTTACTTTTCCACATGTTCCCTTATGCAGAAAACGTAAGTCCCTGCAGACAGAGACTCTGTTCACTGCCAAATCCCTGGGGAATAAAACAGTAGCCTACACATTCTAGGTGCTCAACAAACATTTGCTGACAGCCTAACTTTAGAGGGCAAAGAAATTCAACTGGGTATAGTCATTGAGTGCCCCTTTGAAAACTTCCTGGTGAGTTCATGGTGGGCTGTGTCTGTTAACGTGCTGTGCCGCACAGGGTGTGTCCTGAAGGTGATCCTGATGGGGCTGCCCTCATGAATCTCAGCCCAAGGAGCCACATCCACACCCAAGCAAGTGTGGGCCACCAGTCACTGTGCAACTGTCAGAGGCCTTTCAATCAGAGCGACTCCATCCTGAATAGAGACTGGGTAAAATAAGGCTGAGACCTACTGGGCTGCATTCCTGGGAGGTTAGGCATTCCAGGATGAGATAGGAGGTCGGCACAAGGTACAGGTCACAAAGACCTTGCTGATGGGCTAACGCCTTTAGTCCCAGCACTTTGGGAAGCCGAGGTGGGTGGATCACTGGAGGTCAGGAGTTTGAGACCAGCTTGGCCAACATAGTGAAACCCCATCTCTATTAAAAAAATACAAAAAAATTAGCTGGATGTGGTGGCAGGCACCTGTAATCCCAGCTACTCTGGAGGCTAAGGCACGAGAATTGCTTGACCCCAGGAGGCAGAGGTTGCAGTGAGCCAAAATCGCACCATTGCACTCCAGCCTGGATAATAACAGCAAAACTCCTTCTCAAAAAAAAAAAAAAAAAAGACCTTACTGATAAAAAGTTGTGATAAAGAAGCCAGCCAAAACCCACCAAATCCAAGACGAAGATGAAAGTGACCTCTGGGGTGTCCTCACTGCTCATTATACGCTAATTATAATGCATTAGCATGCTAAGAGACACTCCTACCAGCACCATGACAGTTTACAGATGCCATGGCAACATCAGGAAGTGACCCTGTATGGTCTAAAAAGGGGAGGAGCCCTCAGTTCCTGGAATTGCCCACCCCTTTCCAAAAAACTCCCGAGTAATCCGCCCTTGTTTAGTGTATAATCAAGAAGTAACAATGAGTATGGTTAGCTGAGCAGCCCGGGCCGCTGCTCTGCCTATAGAGTAGCCATTCTTTTCTTCCTTTGCTTTCCTAATAAACTTGCTTTCACTTTATGTACTTTCCCGAATTCTTTCTTGCGTGAGGTCCAAGAACCCTCTCTTGGGGTCTGGATCGGGATCCCCTTTCCCATAACACAACCAGGCCAGGATGTGATGCACGGTGGTGCCCGGGGACGGTGACAGGTGGATTGCACACCTGACCCACCCCATCTGAAGGCCTGCCCTGCAGCGGAATCTGGGTGTTAGCGAGGTCCTGTGACCCACTCACCTAGTGGACCAAGAGCAGCTCCTGTAGCTGGTGAGGGACCCGTTGCGCCCTGCAAAACCAGCCTAGCCCAGCAAGCACTGCCGGCATCCACCCAAACAGATGCCAGTGTCCAGGATGTGGCTAAACTAAGGCATGTGGAACAATAGGAAATGTCTGCAGCTTGCCAGGGTGTGAGCCAGACAATATGGCACAAAGGAAGGAGGAAAAAAAGAATTTCGAGGCCATTCCACAGTCAACTAAAACTCACCTGTGTTCTCCTCCAGGTTGGGAAGGTGGGCGAGCCCTGGCCTATGTGCACTGATCTTTATTAGAATGAGGAGAAAGATCAGCCTTATTTGTAGAAATGAATAGGCTTTTGTGTCTGTGGCCTTGGATCATGTGTTTTCCAGGAGACTTTGTAGGATTAAAAAAAAACAGGGGTCTGGATTCAAACCTGCCACCCAGGAGACTTGTGCTGAGCACACCCAGGCAAACCTGCCATCCAGAGGCTCAGTCTTTTCACCAGGAGAATGGAGTCATAGCATCTGCCTCCCAGCCCCCACCCCACCTTACAGCATTGTGCAAAGGATCAAATGGGCTGCAGAGTCCTCTAGAATGTCATTGGCTCAGCCCTCGGCCCTCAAGCATCCCTGGGAGCAGGAATGACTCAGTTACCTCCAGGAAGGAAAACCCAGGACAGGTGCCCAGCTTTCCAGGCAAAGTGGTTTCAAGGGAGACGCCTGGCTCTCTCTCAATACCTACTTGATTCTGCCCCAAGCTGGAAGGCGGTGGCACACTATTGCTTATAAAGAGCTGCTAGAAGCAATGCTTAGGCAAGCAGGGCCTCAGAGGTAAGAAGGTCCAAGTGCCCTGCCCAAGCCTCCTCGGATCTGGGCCCAGATGAGATGAGTCACTATCCACAAAACCACCTTGCAGGCACCTGCAGCCAAGTCAGAAGGAAGCACACCTCTCAGGTTTCCAAGAGTCCCCAAGCTGCTCTGCAGGTGAATCTGCTTTGAAGAAAGAGACACAGCTCTGGGGCTATACTCAACCCCCAGCAAGCAGTCGCCAATGAAAAATGGCCGGGGATGGCCTGTCTAGCAGGTTTCCAGAGTGCCCTCTCCTCTTTTTCCAGTCCCAGACACCTCCTGGCTTTATCTGCGTGACCTTCAGAGAGCTCCTCCGACTAAACCTCCTCCTGGAATCTGAGTGTGGGTGGGTTTGTGGCCACTCCAACCCCACCCTTCAAAGGAATATGTTTAGAATCTTGCATTGAGTTAAGGAAAAAACAACAAACAAAAACCCAAAACCCAAAAAAACACAAAAATCGATTTAGGATCCTCTGCTGCACAATTTTAGGAACCCCCAAAATGACACAGCCAGCCACCTTCTCGGAGCAGTCTGGTAGCGACATGCATCCACTCGACCAGAGCCAGGTTCAGAGATGAGGAGCCCCACATCCACTTGGTTTTCTGTTTGACCCATCAGAAGGGGCTGAAGAGGTAAGTCTCATCAGGATCCCTTCCTTCCTTCTTGGCCTGCAAATGATGATTTCAAATGGATGGACTCCTTCCCTCTCTTCCTGCCCTGTTCTTCCAGTAGATTCTGAGCTTGAGTTACTTCTATGTGAGGGAAACCCAGGAGCCACAACTTGTCATGTTTGGATGTCCTTTTTGTTACCAGCCTAAAAATATCCTTCCCTTTAACCAACTTTCAATGGGGTAAATCCGGACAGTCCCCTCTTTGGAACTCTCCTAATAAATGAAGCCTTGTGCCAGCATTCAGGGCAGGACTGTGAATGCTTATTGTCCTCCCTGACCTTCTCGCCCCTCCTCCTGACCCTTATCTGTGAGTTTGATTAGCCAGAGGCTGTGGGCTGAAAGCGAGTGATGTGCAGGACTTGTGACCAAGCAGGTGCGGCTGCTGGCAAATTATGTAGAGTCAGGTCACAGTGAACCTTGCGGGGCCCCTTGTTCAGCCCTGCCTTACACTTCTGGGCTTGGGACCCATGTTACTGCAGGGGTCATGTGCCTGCCTCGCTGGCCCTGCCTGTCATGATAGCTTCTACAGGCTGAACCTGCTCAGAGAGTCTCAGGCCATCTTCAGAGCACCCAGCTCTCCCCATGCTGCAGGGAAGAAAAGCTTACACTTTGGGTGCCTTTCACCCAGATTCAGGGAAGAGGGCCCAGGACATCACAGCTCAGGCATCAGAGGCCAAGCACAGGGGCCCTCCCCTCTCCAGGCTTCTGTTTCTCATGCTGTAGAATGTGCTGCTGGGCTTCATAGCACCCGGATCCTGACCGTCTATGGGTACATGGAGGGAGGGGGTGCAATGTCTCTTGCCGCACAATTTTGTGAGTTCTTAGCTTTTTCTTTAGAAGAGGCCAAAAACTGGCTGCTTTGGTAGATGCCACCTGATGACCTGGCAGGGGCAACTGTGTCTGGGTTTATTCCACACAAGGACCCAGTTCCTGTAGTCAGGAAGGCCGCTGACTTGACCTGGGAGAAAGAACCATCCCCCCGCCAGCCAACCACGGGCAATTCTCTTTCTACTCCTTTTGTGCCAGAGGTTGGGAGGCCTGGCTCCCACCCCCACCGCCAGCTCAACCTGGGATGCTTGTCCCAGGACGGCCACCCCACGCTGCCTTCCGATGACTGATGGACACTAATGTTTTCCATGAGCAACTTGCCAAAAAAATAGACACATCAGCAGATAGAGCTCCGGGGCTGCACTCTGACTCGGTGACTGCTTTTTGGGGAACAAGGACTGAAACTTCTGGGATGACAAAGCAGCTTTCAGCCTGGCTCTCCACCCGGAAAGGCATGCAGGGATTCCACAGCCACATCGGCCCTTCCAGGGATGGGCTGGAAGCTGCTGGAAGTCAAGAAGCAGTCACTGTGACTTCCCCTTGCCCACGAGGCACCCTCAGAATGTGGTGAGCACCACTGAGGATGGAGAGAGCCGCGCAAGCTCATCTTCGGACCCTGTGCCAAAGGCCCCCAGCAAGGGCCTGTAAGCCTGGCCCAGAATGCCAGGCCTGTTCTTACCAGAACAGGAGGCCATGGTGTGGCCCGCAGGTCAAGACAGGCACTCAGAGGGGTGGTGGGGGGAGAGGGGAGCCCTTCTCCAGTTGCCAAACCACGTCCTGAGGGGTGACTTCTGCTTTTGGTTCCTCATTTGACTGAGAAGAGTTTCGGTCTCAGAAAACCTTTCCAGGCAGCTTTGCAAGTCACGTTGCAGAACTCCTGATGTATGAGCCCAGCGGAATTTTCCTTTAGGGGCATTTTCTAGAAGGATCCCTCTTTCCTTCTCTGCAAAAGGGAACCGTTCCTCCGAAAGGGCCTGGGCCTTTGGGAAAGCGTTTGAAAAGCCAGGCGCAGGCATCTTTCTGCGGCCGCTCCCAGGATCCCTTCCTAGGGGGGATGTGAGGCTGGGGGCCTCTCTCCAGGGCTCAGGGTCTCGAATGCAGGCCAAGGCGCCCCCCAGCCCCGAGGCCAGGAACCCCGGCAAATGAGTCCAGCTGGACAGTACCGTGTTCAGAAGGCCACCAGCTGGCGGCGGCCGGCGGCGGGGTCAGGGCTGGGGTCTGCCCGGTGGCCTCGCGCCTGGCCCACGAGTTCAGGCGCCCCGGAGCCAGGGTGCTGCTCCGGGCGGGGCGGGCGAGGTCACCGGGCGGGGCAGGAGCCGCGATGGGACAGCCCCGCCCCAGGGGAGTGTCCCGGCCCGGCCGCCGCCTTAAGGGCAGAGCGGGGCAGGAGCCAGAGCGCGGGGTCGGCCGGGTGCGGGGCGGGATCCAGGGCGGGAGCCGGCGCGGGATCTGGGACCGGAGCGGGGTCCAGAGCGGGACCTAGAAGCCGGCGCGGGACCCGAGAGCCTGCGCGGGGCCATGGCGGGGAGCGGGCCGGCCTGGCGGCCGCTGCTACTACTCGTGCTGCTGGCGGGCGCTGCGCAGGGCGGCCTCTACTTCCGCCAGGGCCAGACCTGCTACCGGCCCCTGCGCGGGGACCCGCTGGCTCCACGGGGGCGCAGGTGGGCGCCGGCGGGGAGGCGGCCCGGGGGGGACGGGAGGCCCAGCTCCCGGGCCGGGCGCGCGCTCTGCCTCCTGGGGGCCCTGCCTCGCCACTAGGCCGTGGAAGGTCAGATCCAGCCGCTTCGTTTTGGGGGTCGCGCCTCCTCTTCCACATCCAGGGAGAGCCCTGATGTTTGTGGCGTTGGACAAGCCCCACCTGGCCGGAAAGCCAAACCAGCGCCACCTCCTCGGCCTCTGGGGATGGCCCCCATGGCGCGGCGTGGCTGGGGGAGCACCCCGGTTCCCTCGTTTCAGGGGTGACCTGCCTCCTTCACATTCTGAGGGCCCTGGGGCCTCCTCCTGTGAGGTGGGCCCACACCTGGCTCACACTTGCTGACTGTGGCCCCGCTCCCATGCCCTCAGGTGTTGGGAAGGGCGGGAGGGCCCTACCGAGAGCTTCCTGGGCCCATGGCCCCGGAAGCCGGCCTGGCAGCCCCAGGACCCCCAGCACTGATCTGGGTGGGGATGTTCTCTTCCCAGCACATACCCTCGGCCTCATGAGTACCTGTCGCCAGAGGATCTGCCCAAGAGCTGGGACTGGCGCAACGTGGGTGGTGTCAACTATGCCAGCATCACCAGGAACCAGCACATCCCCCAGTACTGCGGCTCCTGCTGGGCCCACGCCAGCACCAGCGCCATGGCGGGTGAGTGGCCCCCCCTTGACTGTGGGCCAGGAAAGCCCATCCGGGCTGCCTCTTTACAGGCCCAGGCAGCTCAGCCCGAGGTTCCAGCCGCTTGTGAGTCAATCAATGCCAGTTCAGCCCGGGCTGGGGTGCTGAGGCCACGGGGCACGGGCCTTCACCCTCTGCCAAGGTGATGCAAGCTGGGTCATTCTGGGGCCTCTGGGTGATTGGCAGGACTAGGACCGAAGCCCAGTGACAAGTGGCTGTCAGGTGCCCTCACTCCCCCAAAGCTTGTGACCTCAGACACTGGGATAGACAGAATAAAAAATCACCGAGTCCCCAGGCTGTAATTGAGGATACAGAGTAAACTGCTTCTTAGCACAAATTAAGGCCTGTCCTGGGCCTGGAATATTGGGTGAGGCTGGCTGGCTACAGCCTATGGCCTAACCTGGCCACCACCCCCAGCCTGGCAGGTTTCTATCGTAGGCTTTTGGCCGCAGTGGGGTAGGAAGGCTTTCAGCAAAGCGGAAGGGGAAGTTGAGGCCCACCCTATCGATGAGGCTCTGTGCCCTGCTGTGGGAGAGAAGGCAGAAGGGACAGCTGCAAACCAGCCCCAGGCCCACTCCACAGCATTTGGGAGGGACCTTGCCATCCCCTCTCCAGTCACAGCATAGGGTCCAAGAGCCTGGATTTTCTGGAGATGGGACTTGCGTGGGCTGGGGGTGTGGCCCCACGAGCGCTGCTGCCTCCTCCCTGGCCTTGGTCCTCATGGGTCGGGCCTGCTGTACATCCGTGTTGAGAGGATTGACTATGTGGCTGCTGTGGGCCACGCGCTTGTGTGTGCTCCATCTCACCGACGCCTCCTCGATGCCGTGATCGCTTTCAATTTGCAGATGAGGAAACAGGCTCTTTGCAGGGAGAGCGGGAGGTTTGGGCAGAGTGTAAGTGACGGCTGAGATTTGAGCCCGGAAGCCTGGGCTCTGTGCCAGGATGTCAATGGGCTTTGTCTTGTGAATGAGGGGTTGGGGTTTGTCTTGCTCTGGGGGTGGGGTCTGGACCCCAGAGCCAGCAAACTGAAGCTGTGGCATCTGTGGCATCTCCCCCCAGGGGCTGGAACACACTCCTGACCCTTGGTTCAGAGGTCCCTTGGGTGTGGATGGAGCTGGAAGGTCTAGGAGACCTTGGCTGGGCTGCAGGGTGTGGCTAGGCCTAGAGGCAGAGGATTGGGCAATGTTCAGGGGGAGTGCCCAGGCCTTGGAGGGTGGGTGAGGGAGAGGGGAGGATACAAAGATCACCAGGTGCCCATGGGGAGCCTTGAACTCTGAGAGGCGGTCAGGTGACAAGCTGTGTATCTGTGAAGGACTGTGGGTAGGAAGGAGATGGCTTGAGATGGGGGCGGGACCCTGGCGGGGTCAGCCCTGCCGCATTTCCCCAGGGGACTCACTCTCCTGGCAGATGATGCTTCACCCCACCTTCTGAAACTGCTAACATCTCAGCGCACCCACGCCCTTGCTTCCTCTTTAACTGAGGAATAGAAGCCACCAGAGGGGACTTCCACGGGGCCCCAGCCATCTGCCAGCCAAGGCAGCAGGTCCTCTACTTGTCTTTCCTCCTCTACCCCAGGATAAAACGTCTCAGCCCCTCCCCAAGCCCATCCCTTCCCACGCAGGGAAGCTCTCCCACTGGAAACAGAGGAACACAGAGCCCCCGGCCCCACCCGCCCCACTTCTCGGCTCTCTGGGGAAATATCTGGAGTCCTCCACTTCCTCTTCTCCATCCTTGGACACACTCCAGCCTCAGTCCCACCCCTGCCACTCCACCACATTGCTCTTCCCACGGTCACCTGCTGTGAAGCAGGGCAGGGGGCAGTCCCCACGTCACTGAAATGCTTCCCTCTCCTGCACCACACTCCCCAGC